ATCATATCCTCGCTCTCGAATCTTCTCCATTACTGCTAATACTTCTACTATCGCTACCACTCTTGGATTTGAACTGACATTTTCGTCTCTGTGCTAATGCGGTATGGCTACCTGAACTGATGCACAGACACACGAAGTTCTGTGTTGTATCTGTCCGTCTGTCATTTCGCCGGTTATATATTATCCCCAGAGTCAGAACTGGACATTGTTGCATTTTACACTGTCGCTACAACTCTACGGTGATAGAAGCAGTTATTTGTCAGCATACAAATATATTTCTGTTGTAATATTTGGATTGTGCTCAAAAGACTAGAAATGTCTTCGACTCTAAATTGGCTTGTCCCTAATACTATACTTTAACGGCTGATTTTGTTTCAAGCGATCAAATAAATTCTTGCTTATATTTCGATATTATTTTATGCCTTGGTTTCCTGATTTCTTGGCATTTTACCTTTGCATACATTATTTTAACATAGTTTTCCATTCCGGAAATTTAAACATTGAAGTTACCGTATAAACTTTATATAAAAAGGGAATAAAATCTATATTCAATAAGTTATTTCTTGAATATTTTGTCGCCTTCTATGAAACAGGTTTAATTACATAGTTCGATTTTAGTTTCATTGATCTAGTTAGTAGTTTTTGTACTACTATTCATGTGTTCCAACTCCCCTAGGTATATCCATTTTAGTCTTACAAGCTGGATGGAGTAACTAACTTTTGAAATATTAAATGTGGTTTACCATTGTGTGCGAAACTATAAATAACCAATTGATTATGTATGTCAATGAGAGAATATCTATGGTTTATTATTTTTATAATCATGTACTCTAAGCCTAGTTTTTGAATAATTCATTCAGTAGGTTAATTCAAAGAAAATATTAAACATAACAAAGTAATAGAAATGAAAAATAATCTCAAGAAATATTTATTGAATAATATATAAAATGTTCATGATATAGAAGGTGTATATATTGACACTATGTTGTTATTCATATTGAAAGATATCATTCAGATTTCTCAAGGAGTTTATATCCATGTAGCTTTGAACCGAAATCTTTTTTCTGAGAAAAAAAATTATTTAAGCCTTGCATTATATCTTTTCATTTTTAATTGGAGTCAAGTTTATATTTCCCTCTTAAATCTACTTGAGTTTTGAGCAGCCTGGAGTAATATTGTTAACCCTCTGTTAGCGTGACATAGATTGGATTAAAGCATGATTGCATTGTTGCACGCTGATTGGCTCTTTCGTACCCAATCAGCGCTAATCGATACTGAGGGAAAATTCTAGAATCTTCTCATGTGAAAACTATGAGTACACTAATGTTTTGAACTTCTAACCTTGTTATTGAGGTATAATCTATCTCCTGTCCAAACGTGTTCTGATTTGGGTGAACGTCTCGAGTGAATCGGTGTCCGAGAATATTAAGCATTAGGAATAGCTGGGTTGTAATAGAGAGCGAACTATAACATCCTCATTGTGACTCATCATTTATGATTAACTGTTTCACTCAATCACTTAGGTACGAGCCACATCTTGAACATGTAGGTTAATGACACAATATAGCAGGTCAAATGAAAACAGGTGGAGTTGTTTTCGAATCTGCGACTTTGTGACCGAAATCCAAGCACCTTGACCACTATGCCTAAAGCCTTTTCTATATAGCCCCTTGTACTTGCTAAATGAGTTGCATCCGTATTACTACAGCCATACTTTTATTTTTGCCTATCAAATAGTTATTCGTTTTTTGCTCGTACTTTTTACATAAATTCATTTAAGACCTAATGTTTTGCATGAAAGTATTGTTATCATGTGTGGTAAACAATTTTCCAGAGATGAATCACAATATATATATGTGTATATTTATATAGGCTTATAAATTATTTAACCTTAAAATAAATAAGTTGTTTTTTGTTTACATTAGAATTATTTGTAAGATTTGTTTAAAAAAAAATTCATACAATCGGAAAGAAATACCAATGCTATATGATTTCCTTCTCCATACTACATAAACTTCGTATACACTTTTTCCTCTAGATTGATTAAATTTCAGCGTGTTTGTTTTGTTCTGCCAATATTATTTCCATTCGAAGTTTTATGTACCGTAAGGCAATCATATTTAAGTTTTTACTAATCTCTAGGTTCATCTATTTCTATTGTCTTTAACCGAAATGTTGTTAAGACTAGTAATAGTAGCAGTAATAAAAAGAAGAACAATGTGTCGAATGTTTTCAAGGTCATACGTGTTTGAATTTCACTGCATCCAGTACAATCTAGCTTGTCAGAACTTGGTTGTGTTTCTACTCATGTTTACATAAATCAAATTTAGCTGGTTAAATACATTATCTATTATTCTGGTAAAAGCTTCACGATTAAACTACTCGTTTTTTTTTAGCGGAAAACTACTAAAAGTTAGTATTCACACTTCGTAATTAATTTCACCAGTACAATTTCAATAACAAACAGTATACGACGTGTTATTAATAGGCTAATGCATTTGATTTTATCGTATCTTGGTGATACATCACTACAGATTATAGTTCCTGATAAACAAAGCAACGTAAAATCTATTTTTCTGTTTTAATCATTAAATAATACTTTTTATCTTTCTTTTTACCCCGAAAATTAGTTATTTTCTAACAATCTTTTTTTTTAAAAATTGATTTTAGTTTAGATCACAAAATTTCATGCAACTTTTTCACTTCAAAATACTGAATATTACTCATGCACAATTAAAGTATAATTTACATAAAGCTAAAGAGTGTATACTGATTTTTTTAAAATGCTATATGAAGTGTATTCATCCTGATTTCTAATCACGAAATAAAATGATCATAGCAAAAAGTTGAAATAGTCCAAAACTTACTAACATTAACTTCAGTCTTATCGATGGTACTAATGACGTAAGAAAGGTAATATAACATTGTTATCAGTTATGTTACGCGACGTAATTCTCACTGATGTAATTATTATTTGATCAAAAATCTAAAAGTACAAATAACTAGAAAATACGTTTTGGCGATTAATCAATAAACACTTACGTCATGGTTCTTTTGATAGTGGATACTTGCATGATTTATATCTTTGCTGTTCATTGATATGATTTACTCCATGTCTCATTCATTAAGTCATTAATACACTACGCATCCAATCGAATAAAATCAATGATGACTCATCTTCGTTGTTGCTCATGTTACTCGCTACATTAATCTTTGAACAACATTGAGTTATCTATAAGCGTTAGCTAATTGTTATCAAGACAACAATTTATCTTAAACACTATTTACACTTTGATCTGAGTATAAATCATGATGCAAATTTATATTTGTATTTAAAATTAACCTGTCTGAGTTTCGATTAATCTAACTTGTTGTATATGACTCATATACCTGACTGGATTTGTTGGAGTCAAAATACAATCATCACAAATTATGATCATATTTGTTTTGTACCATTGTAGATGAAAGATGCTTAAGAGATAAAAATGATGTGTTCATTTACATTTGATTGTATTAAATTATTAATTTGAATCATCATAGTACAGTACAGCACACGTCAGTTGTCAGTATTCTATAACACTGCAGTTTTTTATAGCCTATTTTCAATAGATGAAGGTGTTGGCTTTGTTTATCGACTACTATATAAGAATTAACATTTCTAACCCCTTTCTTCTGTCATATAGTCAATAGTACAACTATTTGTGTTGAATATAACCTCGAATGATGGAGAAACACTACATTACGTGTTTGAATTCTTCCAGTTAAATACTAGGGTGTAGTTCATAAACGATAGAAGCTTAAGACATCCATCATTACAGGCTGTTATTGCAAAGGTTGAGGTCTTAAAGTAAACAAGGTTTCTGTTGAACCTAGATAATGCCCTCTTGTTATCCACACTCAACGTTGAATCAAGCTATTAAACTAAATTTGGAAACTTGGTAGACAGTTTAATATTCTGACTGCGCTACTGGTGTGTATGTTCCATGATGCTTAAAAGTTCCGTAATAGTTATTTAGTTTTCAATATCGATTTATAATGCAACATATTTTTAGTGTATTGTCGACTTAAATTTAACACTTTTATTCTGTTTACTCACATTTACTTTTAAAATTCTATCTGACTGCTCTGTTTTTGACAGTAAGCGATATAAGACTATGTTGTTCTTGTTAGTATTTAATTTGAAATTAATGCTGTCAGTTTTGACCGCAAGATCCATTATCAATGAAATGCACAGATTGTGATCACTGTAAAATTCTCGTTTTTTTAGTATCCAGGTCGTTTCACTTTTCGTCACAGGAGTTTGAATAATACAATCAATAATATACACATAGACACACGCTCGTTAATCATATTTTTTGAGGAATTTCATTTAACTACTTAGTTTATTAGAAAAATATACACAATCAAATCAGTTCAGAAATTAATTTGATTTGTACAGTATTCAGTTGTATGCTTAACTTGTACAGGACATTTTATCATATATTTTTACTCTTAATATGGAATAGTTAATCAGTTCGTCCAGCTAACACTAACTAAGGCTCATAGCTCAAGTTCCGTTTTCTTGCAGTTGTCTTGGTAACTAACTACTTGACTAGTTGACTATTATTATTATGATTATTATTATTATTATTGCAAATATGGCTAAATCAACTTAATATAAGATTTACAAATATGACATGTATGTTTTTTATAAGATTAACTATTTTCACATCATATAAATACATAATTTGATTGTTAAATGTAATATTCCTCTTTTTGTCCATTCTATGTAGGCATAGCAACCACCAATTATTATTATTATGTTTGTGCTTTCTTACTACATACATATCAATTAGTTTTGTTAAGATTAGTTAATTATAATTCATTTAGGCTACATTGATGTTTATGCTGATGATAATGATGATGATGATGATGATGATATTGTATTGAACGAATGATTTTTCCACTTTTTTTTTTTAACTTATTCATGTTTGTTTGCTTGTTTTATTGATTTTATTTAGTGCCAAACTGGGTCAAATCAGTCAATAAAGATCTAGGACCGTTAACTTTGCCACCATCTGCATTTTCTGCAAGCTCTGTTTATCAGAATAAACCAGAATATCAACCGTACAAAGCGAAGTAAGTGTTTATTTGTTTTGTCTATTTCTTACTGCTTCCATTTTCTTTCTCAAGTAAAATTTTACTTGTCACACAACATTTCAATAGTAGATATCCACAGTATGTTTAGTTTTTATGGTCTATGTTTCTTTGATGACTATCTAAAAGTTTGTAACGAAATGTGTAATTGTGTCATTCTGACGTTTAAACTGGTTTGATGGGTACGGAGTATCTACCTAGAGGAGTTGAAAACCACCGGTTCCAAACCAGTTGTGTACATTCGCTCCAAAATCCTCAGGAAACAAAGGACGTATGAGCCTATTGTTTGTCACTGGCTACCATGGGACTGTCTCTCCTAACATTACTCCACTACCTTGTGGATCAGACCCTTAGGTCAAAGACTTGGAGAGTGGACTACCGAACAATCCATACTCGAATTCATTGATTTGTGTGGTGCTTAAATATTTAGGTGCCTCTTTGTACCTACTAATGATTATGTGTTTATCTAATAAAAAAAAAATTGAATCGTAGCATTTAAAAGTTCCATTGTGTACTACACATTTAACTAATAATTTAGATATTTTAATATTGTACTAATTAGAAAGTTCTATTTGGTTATTCTTTTTTAATATTGAATTTTATTATTGAGAAAAGATTTTTATATTTTGATATCGATTCGAGTTACTTACACTAATTTCGATATTTTTATAATATTCGTATATTTATTAAATTCAAATTGAAATCCTGAGCAATTTTCTCTATTGGTATCAATAAGACTCGTGGTTTAGCGTCAATGTTACTGATAATTATCATACAGCTACAATTGTTCAGTAGAAGGTGTTTTCGGAACCAGTTTGCATTAACTTAGATGACTGAAATACTTAGTCATATAGCTTGTGGATTGGTTCTGTGATATGATATATTATTGGTTATCTGTTTGTAGATTTAGAAAAATAAGACTTTATATTTTAAAGCGTTCGGATGCTTCAACTGATAAGATTGAGGCTTCTTTTTGTACTGTACCATTGTTGATATCATTAGGTTCATGATCTTAGTGTTTCACCTTAACTGTTTTTTGTCTAGTCGGGAATACAATACACTGAGCTAGTTATTCTTATCCTTTCCTGTTCTCATCTTTTCAAAGTAGAGTTTAACTTAGGTGATCATTTTTATTTCATTTGACAAGGTATTTTTTCTATCACTTCAGCTGGTTATTAAAACTTAATCATACATTCCTTAAATACAACTGGCGTAGTTTAACTTCTCAGATTTGATATCTTTAATATTGTATACATGATCTTTTTGATTAGTTCAAAGAAAAACATGAATGTTGCACAATTATCTAATCGTGTATTTTCTATATAGTTGTACTACATACCATTCACATAAATGTATATAGCATAAATATGATAAGAATATTCGCCTGTTTCCCAAGAATTACCACTAAAGTCAAATTAACATCTCCCTAATTTCATATATCAATCATCTGTCTCATATGATAAATATATATATATTTAAAAACAGGTGGTTTAAGATCGATTCATTAATTATGTTACTGAATAGTTGTGCGTGTAGCTTTTATATATATTTTCTTTTTTCACATATCTTATCACCTCTTCTGTGTGCATTGATATTTTGTACTTGGAGATTTCGATAGTTTAATAATAATCCCAAAAGTCTTAATTGATCCATTTTGTTTTAAACGTCTCATCTGTTTAGCACCGAATGGCAGTAATAGTTAAGTAGTTATGATAGGTGATGTCTTAGTGATCAATTAATCTAGTCAATTCAAGGAAGTTTGACAACTAATCAATGATCTGTTACATTTTTTTTCAGTAATGGAATATTCACCAGGCTAATTAGTATGATTTTTCATTTTGATAATAGATGACGTGTAAGATTAGCGAATAAACTAACTTAACACTGCAGAACAATTTTTTTTAGTGGTCTGGGATCTGACCCCCAATTCGGATGAACAATTGAATATACTATGAAATAAATTTTCCCTATCAATTTCTGTATATCATTCTTAGGCGAACTCCATTTGTGCAGCGACGGTTATTAAAAACCCAGTGTGGTTTTATGTGGGTAAATTAATTCTACACACTTAAGCAGACAAACAATAGAATGGGGAGCGAAGTGGAGAAGGAGAGTAGGCCAACTCTATGTGATGGATGAGTCATGACTAAGTATCTATAGTTAGAAAAAAGTAAGCTAGACATGTGACAAGCGAAGTAAAACAATGCACATACTCACTTGGGTAAAAACAATCGAAGTTATAGGCGAATAGTAGACATGGTTGGAAGACGTGTGAATAATAACTCTAGAAGAACGGATTAATTAATTTGTCCAAAGGCTGGAACAAGCCTTGTGGGCTCGACATGATAGTGCACACTATATTCTGTTTGAATTGCCAGGTCAGCTTCTTTTTTGGTTAATGTGAATAAATAATATCCTAATTCCTACACTAAATGTAGCACATCCGGTGGTGAAACAAATTCTTGTCATTCGTGTTAATGGGGTTATTAACTACTGTCGGTGGATGCAGACGTTCCTGGCTAAGATCCATGTAATAATCGTTATGTATTAGTTGGAGGAAATCGATCACATTCGTAACTTGTGAATGTTATTCGCCATTAGAGTAATCATTAATAGAATAGTATTTTAAAGCAGTTTTCTTTAAGAGTGTAAGTTTCAATACATACAGAATACAGCTGTATTAAGGAAGTCACGAGTTATCCATTTTTTTTATTTATTAACGTTTTATAGGAATGTCATTTTAGCGAATCAACATTAATCTAATTTCCATAACTATTAAGTTTACCGTGATAATTTTCTGTTGACTTCTCTCGTTCTTCATTTACCAATTTGGGTGGTATATTTCTCAAAGTCATCGTTGTTTGTTGTATCACATAGTTAACACTTGTGAATGGTCACTCGAATCGGGAGCAACTACGGATAAAGTGCTTTGATTATCTAACAGAAGCTGCTATTAGTCGGTATTAAAAGACGGGTAGGAATTTCTCTTTAGTCTCCAATCGAACTAGGAAGTTCGATACTTCAATCGGAAATAAAACAAAAAACTATGTTCATGTTTGGAGTTCCTCATAGATTTCAACACCCATGTCTATAAAGACATGAAACAAGCAAAGTCGGTGTTTGTATCATTTAGTAGTAATGACGTACGATTAGCATTTTGAATCATTACTCTATGTTGTGTAGCTTTAATCTAGACATTCATGTGTTGTTCATTAACATCAATTTATTTGCATAGTAGGTACTCAGAAAAGGGTTTCTTTATAATTTTTTTTAAAAAGTGTAAAAAATAATGTTATTCATTTACTGATCTACTAATAAACAATGCCCGTTTGAATATCATTGAATTAATAGGTAGTCGATCTCTTGTTTCATGGAAATATGAATAAAACAAATCAACGTCCAAAAACTAATCCCTATTTTCTTATCTCTCTACCCATATCCTATAAATTATAAATTGTCTTCATGTTTTTTTTTCTGTTGTGTATGGCGTCAAACAATTTTCTGAATTGTTGTTTCATGTTATAATAAGACAAGTAAACTTTATTTTTGTTTTGTTTTTTTTTTCATATTTGCGCGTTTTTTTTGTTTTAAATTCCAGTCTATTCATGATGAATAGGAAGAACACTAGAAATAGGAGACAGTATAAAGAAGTGTAGTAAGGGAATGTGAAATGGCGATATCTTTCACATTGAAGTTTTTTTTCAATAACATGTTTTCATTTTCTCACCTATTTTTTTTTCTCGCCTAACAATGAAATGACCTGGATTTTTGTTTTCTGTAGTTGTTTAACACCTCCTACCTAGTTAGTTGTTCTTGATTGCAAACTTGAGACCGAAATCATTGTCGCCTCCTTCCTATATGTTCACGTCTTACTGTAATCAAATAAAGCAATTCATGAGTTTGTTTATGCATTTTTTTTCGTTGTTGTTTTAACATGAAATGAGATTGTGAATAGACATTTCAATAAATTACTGCTTATTTAATTAATGTTGACCTAAAACTAGTTACAAGAGAGAAGGCAGTGCATTTTTTATCATCGCTATTGGTTTTATAGCTTTATACAAATAAAGCTTGATAAAATAACACTAATTTAATTTATTAACTGATGGTTGACAGTATACTGCAGAAAACACTGGATTTAGATTTCTAGCTAGTTGCTACTATCATACTCAGCTTCACAGTGTCAGATGTTACTAGTGAGCTATTCTAATTCCGATGAACTCTGTTGTTGTAAGACCTAGGGTATTTCACAGTTGATTTATCACTATTCAATGTTCAATCAATTAGAAAAAATATTCATTATTATCAATCTCCTCTAATTTACTTTTACGATTTTACAAACATTAGGCGTAGAACAAAGTTTTTCATATTATTGTTGATTAGTGTATTTTTTAGACACTGAAAAGACATTTGTTTTAAAAACATTTTATTCAGAAAAATATTTTATTGTCTCAGACAGAAATAATTGCTTTTAAATACAGGCGTATAGATAAATAAAGTTTGACATAAATATATCCTGTTCCTCTCTATCAGTGTTGACTGTTTTTTGGTGTTCTTTAAAAATAGTCATTAAATACGATTAAAATGCTTCTATCATTTGATTTACGAATATCCGGATGTCTACATAGGATGTCATCATATATATTTTAATGCTTTAGGTTACCTTAGCAACCAATCTGAAGCCAACTAAAACTCTGGAATAATGTTACAGTTAAAATGAAGCACTAGTCTACAGTTACTCTGGTTATTACGGTTTAATATAATTTTTTGCATGATTATCGGTTAATATTAGCATACTACTGTAATGCAACTTACTCAAGGGGCTGGATTGTAATCACATGCTCGATGGATGGATATCTGTGTGTGTATATACGTTGTGACTGTTCGTGTATACTCAAATAGTTTAAACATTAATATATAGGAAGTAGTTTTAATGTTAGAAATTCAAACTTTATGTATTCTCTACTGATGGTGTATAATCT